TTGTACATGTGACGATTTAATATAATGTGTAAAAATGAAAATAACTCATATTGAAATTATATTAATAAATATATAACATAATTATAATTAATATTGTTACGTTTATAATTATTATTATAATCATAATTATATGTATGTAGAATTATAATAAATTAAATATTTGCTTGTTAATTACAATTTTATTTTGTTTTCATATCATTCTATACAGTCATTCCGTCTATTTTAGCCATTGCACAACTAGCCTCATACCCATGCTCAACTAGCCTCACTAGTGGGGCACGTTGAGTAATTTGGAGCGCTCGCGTATTTCCGGGAATAACTTGAAAATTTTGACTCGGATCGTTTTTGTGTCGCTAGACCTCTTCCAAGAAGACTAAATTACGAATCTAACAGTATATGACTTGATTAAATCCGATACATCGTCTTAAAGTTATGGAAGGTCGAACCAAAAAGTGATCAACTAGCCCCGCCTTACCCTAATTGATAACTTTTCACTTTATTCTTCTGATAAATAAATAAAATATTCATCAAAAGCCAAAATTAATAATTATAAATCGCACATTATGAATGGAAATACAGAATTTCAATTTTGATTCTACCAATGCTAACATTAAAATCAATCTGACAGTTCTTTGAGCTGTTGCATTCGCACTACTGAAGACATTCAAGTTAAGCATCACTAACTAGGCCAAAAGTCGCCTAAGATGGTGACTTATAATTTTTTTGGACTTAAAAGTATCTCATTATAAATTATAAGTCGCATTTATTTAAAAAAATGAATTAATTTATAATATATTCATGCGCTTTCTTGTTTTATGAACTGAACGTCGATTATAATCTTACATCTGTTATATTTATTTGTCATAGCTCAACATTTCGTGGATTATGAAAGTTTTGTAACTGCGAATATATTAGTTGCAGTGATAACTAATAAATTTGTATTAATATACGTTTATAAAATAGTTCTCATCGTTTAATTATGGATCTAAATCCATAGTTTTCTAATTATCGTTATTAAACACAATGTGAATACATCGAGATAAGATTAAAATGTTGACAAGATTAATGTTAAATTTTATACTTTCACGCATCATTTAATGAGCGGTATCCACTATTTGGTAGTGCGAAGAGTACCGTTTTGGTATACATTGCACTACGAAATAGTGAATTGTCACTATTTCAGTTTCAGAGAATGAAAAGCCGTGCCCTGTAGAGGATCTTCGAGGACATGAATAAAATAATAATAAATATATTATTATTATTATTAAATTCGTAAAAGGTCGGTTTTTTATCTACAGGCGATGAAAAACCGACTAAAAATTATATAACGTTTTGGTCTGTTTTTGACCTTGATGCGGTCAAAACCAGCTAAATGATTGTGACGAAAAAGTCTGATTTTGGTCTTGAAACAATAGAAAACAATTTTATTATAACATTAAAAATGATCTGAAATTGGTCTGAATTGTAAATAGTACGGGCAAAAACAGATTAAATTCTCATATAAAATAGATACACATAATAAAATTAAATTGAATGAAAAATATTAAAAAATTTTATTAATCATAAAACAGACTAAATTTTTTGACCCGGGTCTGCATTAACCTAATTAACTCATCAATTGTTTAGTTTTCATTGTCCTCCTCCCTCCTCATCAAGATCCGGCTGATCGACTATCTGGCCTAATAAACTCACAATACATCTTATTTACACAGCATTAACACTTTCATCCATTTACACCTTACCGTTGTTCTAGTTGATTCCCTGTGATCACACATTGTTGGCGTCATCCGACATCTATTATTTTATAGATCTACTTTCATCTTAATCTTGATCTGCACTTACTCACTAGTCACTAGTCACTATCATCTTGAAACTGGGTCCTGAGTATCATCCTGACATTATAGTTCTGGACATGAACGCTATCTGATGATCATCACCATCAGTAACGACGTGGATCTACGTCCTACACTGTTTATACACGTCTCATTTTATTCCGTGCGACCTTATCTGAATTCTACGTGTGTATTATTGAATATATATGGCTTACGACGCATCGACTATCAATTCACCGGCTTAAGATACATGCAAATATAAGAATAAAAAAAGTTTGGTAAATCCAAATGTGCAGACTTTAAGCACTCGTGTCATACGTTTTCGATAATGAATGTAATATTATTTTTAATTTTTTTTTCGAAAAATCTGCTTATCTTAATAATTTATAAATATTTTAGAAAATTTTAACTTTCAAAATTATAATTAATACAAATCTATTGTTATAACTTTCCTAAGTACTCAAATTAGTCAATTGACGGCAAAAATATAATTTTTAGTAGATTTCATATAAATCTAACTGTTGCTTGGGTCCCAGGACCCACCTCGGATGCCATAAGGGCGTATCAAAAAAATTCTTTTTTGGGAATCAACTCATTTTTGTCTGAAACGTGCAGAAATGCAAATAAAAAATTTTCGCCTAACTAAAAATTTTCTTGGACTTAGAAAAAATAACAGAATTTTTTTTATACGCCCTTATGGCATCCGAAGTGGGTCCCGGGAGCCATAAGGGCGTAAAAAAATTTTTTTTAGCATTTCTCCACATTTCGGACAAAACTACGTCGATTTCCGAAAAAAAAAAAATCGTGTGTGTCAGCTCCGACGCACGACTGGAGTTTACTCCTTACGAACGATTATATCGAATATATAGATTAGTAAATGATGGTAAATGGAATTAACTATTATATTACTCGAAGTATACATGATATATTTATTTTCATTAATTATGCAATTAATTCCAAACTCCAAAAATTTGTTTATTGAAGAATTTTCTTTTAAAAATCATTATTTGTATTAAAGATTGAAATTTCATAAAAAAATTTTCAATCATCTTATGAACAACGCATTTGTTTACAACAATTTTTTAAACAATAAAAGATAAAAATCTTAAAAAGTAATTTCCGTGCAGCTTCTGACAACATAAAAAAGGATCATTAATAATATTTAAAAAAAATAAATTTTTTTGATGATTAATTTAAGTTTTTAATTTTGCAACACGAAAATTATTAATAAAAAATTGAAAAATAAAAATTTTTTAATTTCTCGAACGGGGATCTATTCTGAAGCCTTCCAAAAATTGCTTCAAGAGAGGAAATAAATAATAGTTTAAAAAACTAAAAACACGCTTTTTATAGAAAATCAAACTAAAAAATAGAAAATAAATTTTAATACTATTTATTGTAATGATTATAAGTTCAACAATAGTTAAAAATAAATTTCAGGGTCATAAAAAATGCAGTTAATAATAATTTTCGGACTTTTTTATGAAAGCGGTCAACTACTGGTGCCCGGTCAACTACTGGAACATTTACCCTATGTGATTGTTTAAAACACATTAATTATAAAAATTTCGAGTAATAATTAGTGTGACGGGTGGGCCTACCCTCCCGTCAATATTATGATAAATCATATATATTTTCATAAATCGATTGGCCAACTTGCCCATATGAATTAGACACCGAATTTTCGTTTTATTCCTAGCCTGACTCTGGTTACTGAGAATCCCTACTTACACGTGGTGCTGATGAGACGCTTTCTGGTGGGAACCGAGCGAACAGGTACTCTACATAGTAAAAAATTTTTCGTCAAATTTAACACAAAAATTTATGGTGATGACTTTTTTTACACAATTTGTATTGAATCAACACTCTATTGTGTTAAATCAACATACTAAAATGTTAAATTCTACACACTAAAATGTTAAATTCTACACAAAAGTTTTTACACTTTACACAATGACGAAAAATTTTTTACTGTGTAGATATAGATATACAAACGATAAGTGGATTTTAGTTTATTGCTAATTATAATTAAACTACATTGAATTGGACCGTGATCTTCATAAATAATAGTTTAAAAAAACTAAAAACATGCTTTTTATAGAAAATCAAACTAAAAAATAGAAAATAAATTTTAGTAAATTTAAATTAAGAATAGTGTTAAAAATTTCAATAAATATTAATTAATAATAGTGTGAATAAAAAAAAATTATTTTATTTTAAAAAAATCGTGGGGTGCATGGTGTCAATAGTTATAAATATTTTATTGACAGATGTGAGTAGAGTGATTATCATTTTGATAATATCTTAAAAAGCCCCCCACGCTTTTTTTAAAATAAAATACATTTTTTTTTATTTACACTATTATTAATTTATATTTATTGAAATTTTTAACACTATTCTTAATTTAAATTTATTAAAATTTATTTTCTATTTTTTAGTTTGATTTTCTATAAAAAGCGTTGTTTTTAGTTTTTTAAACTATTATTTATTTTTTACTTTTTATTATTATTTTTTTTATTATTTATTAAATATATATGCCAAGGCTAAACAGCCGAATGGCAATGATACATAAAGTTTATATCAACAAAATCAACATAAGTAGTATTGATTAGAGATGGTTAACAATTTATAATAATAGGATTAATTTATGATTTTAATTTACAACTGGATTATAAATTATTAAACTAAATTAATAAGTCTATATAATACTAAGTAGAAATTATAAAATCATTGTTTCAAGATTCACAAAATAGGTAAAGGCTTTATTTTTGAAAATTTCGATGGATTGCGAGTTTATGATGTCAGCTGGTAGTTCTTGCCAAGTTCGAATAGCGGTTACGATGAATGAATGCTTAAATAAAGTGGTAGCAAAGTTTGGCATTTTAAAAGTGACATTATTATTATTCGCTAACAATCTACTAGATTGTCTTACGTCAGCATCAACTTCATGGAAGAGATCACGCAGAAATTTTGGTTGACCAGTCTCAAATAATTTAAAGAGCAAGCATGCCAATGAATAACATCTACGTGATTTAACAAGCAGCCAGTTGAGCTTGCGACGATAAGGTGTTATGTGCTGATCCCGCTTTAGATTAAAAATGAATCGAATGGAACTGTTGACTAAACGCTGCAATTTAACATCTAGTTTAATAGGCATATCCAAACAAACTACAGAGCAGTAATCGATGATAGGTAGGATGGTAGCCATAACCAATAATTTGCGACATTGCATAGAAAGAATATTTTGCACGCCTCATAAGCGAAGCGTTGAGGTTGTGCTCTACTCTCGACATTTCGAAAAAAGCTGTTTTCTCGAAACTGAAATTGATTTTTTGTTATTTATATCGCACTTACAGGTTCAAAATTATCATTTTGATAATATCTTAAAAAGCTCCCCACGCTTTTTTTAAAATCAAATACATTTTTTTTTATTTACACTATTATTGATTTATATTTATTGAAATTTTTAACACTATTCTTAATTTAAATTTATTTTCTATTTTTTAGTTTGGTTTTCTATAAAAAGCGTGATTTTAGTTTTTTTAAATTATTATTTGTTTTGTAGAATTAAAATTCTCCTTAGTATTCGAAGATTTTTCAATATTAGAGAAATCGGCTAAAGATATAATTATTGGAAATTAAAATTAACATCAAGTCCTGTCTTATCGACTGTAGAGAAAAATTATATAAAATTAAAATTAAGTTTCTTACCTTATCGACTATAGATGAAAATTATATAAATTAACAAAAATCATATTTTGCAATTTGAAAAATGGAATAATTTTATCAAATTAGTGTATTGTCATCGGTCCTCGATAAATCTACAAAGTTTCAACGAAATCTGGCCGTTTAAAGTGGGTCAAAATCGCGCCCAAAGAAGTCGGTTACAAACATACAAACATACGAACATTCAAACATACAAGAGAAGCTAATAAAAAACCTGTAAAAAATCTCAAATAGTTATAGTTTAACAATAATCACACGGAGAAAAAAATATTGTTAGAATAAGGATACGTATCGTTATTCTGACTATACGCCGTATAGTCATTTTTTTTAGAGATATACGCTGTATAGCCAATTCAGCTATACAGCGTATCATCAAAATGACGATCCATATCATTATTTTAGCATTACATTTAGTTCATTTAACTATACAGATCCTCACGTTAACGAAACACTTGCCTGTTTTGACGAAACTACATATATTTATACACAAGAGCTATTCTCTGTATGCTTTTAAGTCAAACAAATGAATCCTTAAATCAGAAATCCGGATTGTTATTTTAAGGAAACGTCGTTTGAGGATACTTTGGATAGTCATTTTAACAATATTTTTTTTCCGTGCACACTTGCAATGTACATGTTCAAGCAGAAAAAAAATTATTAATTAACAATTGTATAACTAATTGAAAAATTGTGATAAAAATTTTTTCAGGCGGATTATTGTTCATTTATCTATCCAGTAAGCCCTTGATTTTTTTTATTTCTTAAATTTTATATTTAATATGTTAAAATACCTTTTATTAATTAAGTGTTCAGAGTAGGTATGGCTTACTCAAGCCAAAGCACCCATTTTTGGCCGTATTTTCATCCCTCTGGGAAAATTATTAATATTGGTCCTACAGTTCCGGGAGTCCAGACTTTTTTCTAGGAAATTTCCTCTTCCTTTTGAATTTTTAAAAAAATGTTTTAAATCTTTATTAGTTTTTAAGATATTTGTAAAAAAATAAACCCCCTTTTTTTCAGTTAATTCTTAATAAACTTGGCAATTTTCGCAAGCAAAACTTAATTTTTTTCAAAAATCATTTAGATCCCATTTCGAATCGAATGACACCTCAATTATAATTTTCGGAGACTGCTGAAAAAAGTTGACCAAAAAGGTACTTGTTGACTAGATTACATACCCTATGTACGTCTTAATACTCACGCCTGAAAAGTGAAAGGTGCGCAGAATAGGTTGCGCACAAAAACGTAACGAGGTCATTTGTTCAGTAGATTTTACTCCTCATATTTTTTTCATACCGGGGACCTTACATGAAAATCGATTCTTAAGGAGTAATCTCCTATAAACTCCAAAAATTTTTTATACGTCTTTATGGCTTTTTACCAGGACTTTTTGCCGGTATACGCCCTTATGGCATCTGAAACGCGATTTATTAACTGTTAATAAATATTTGTTAACTATTAATAAATACTTATTAACCATTGATAAATGTACTTTTCTCCCAAATAAATATTTATTGAATGTTAAAAAATATTTATTAAAATTTAATAAATTAAATAGTTGTCTTCAAATAAATTAAATTATTAATAGTTAATAAATCCTTCTATCAGTGCGATTTGACATGGAATGACCCATATAAATCCATACATTCCTACATTAAATCTTATGGATTCCTATATATGAGTCCATATTTTCTCGTGTGAATTCCTATCGACCTTACAAACCTACATGCATTTTTTTCATAGGGTTAATTTTAATCAGTTTCAAAAAGTAATCCGAAATATTTTATATTACAATACTGATGTTCAAGTGTATGAATAAATGTTCATTTTTGAGTTTAGAAAACACCTTCTATGTTAATCGATAAATTGATGTTTATTTTTTAATTTATTTTTTTGTAAGGATGCGTTCATATGTAGAAATTCATTCGAAGCTTCAAGAAAATTTTGCAAAGTCAAAACTTGTACCTCTCAAATTTATTAAACAGAAAATTATATTCATAATTTCAAATTGGCCTAACTATAACATTAACTACTTTATTTTTTTAACTTAAATAAAACTGCATGTTATCTACACCTCAGTTATCTATAAATAATTACTTTTAATTGCGTCAAAAGTTAACTTGACAAAGGAAAAGTGAATATTATTTGTCAACATTTTTCAACATTATCTACACATTGCCGAGGTCACTAAATATAATTTATATTTAATTGCTAAACAGATAGTATATACAGTGGTTCACCTGTTCGTTCTGGCATCAGTAACTCAGCCTTACAGTACTTTAGTAAGTCTGTAAAAACTATTTACTTATTTTTTTGTAGAAATTAAATGAATAACTAATCGATTCAATAATCAATTGATTTATTTGATAATTGAGATTTTCAAAGAAATCTATCAACAAAAATTATGACGACTATCTACGGAATTGGTTTAGTCGTGGTTCTGCTGGCCGTTTTTGTCGCTGCAGGTAATTATTCATTTATTTGACTTCGTTAATTCTCAAAGTCATCTTCAATTAGAATTTTTTTTTTAATTCTATTATTTTTTGAAAAGATTTTAAGGAACATGAAGTTTCCTCTGGATAGCTTTTTATAATTTCAAACATATTCAACATCAATGCAAAATCTTAATATGTAAAAATTTTTCTAGATCGTCACGATCACCGTCGTAGAAAGCGTGAAGCTTCTCCTAGTGAGTTTTTCACAATCCTAAAAATATTTAATATTGATATAAATTTTTTATGTCTAAAATTTCTTTTTTGTAGATCATCATGAGCATAAACATCATGGTCACGATCATAAAAAACGTAAAGCTTCTCCTGGTGAGTTCCCTACAATTTAAAAAAATTTAATATCAATAAAAAATTTTGATTTTCAAAATTTCTTTCTTGTCGATCATGACGACCATGAACATCAAGGTCACGATCATAAAAAACGTGAAGCTTCTCCCGGTGAGTTTCTCTACAATTCTAAAAATATTTAATATCACTAAAAAATTTTGATTTTCAAAATTTCTTTCTTGCAGATCATGACGACCATGAACATCATGGTCACGACCATAAAAAACGTGAAGCTTCTCCTGGTGAGTTCTCTACAATCCTAAAAATATTTAATATCCCTAAAAAATTTTGATTTTCAAAACTTCTTTCTTGTAGATCATGACGACCATGAGCATCATAAATAACGTGAAGCTTCTCCAGGTGAGTTTTACTACAATTTCAAAAAAAATTCAGCGAAATAAAAAAAAATGTTACTTGTTAAATATAATAATTTTATGTAGAATGATCCATGTACATTGTGACTATCATATACGATTTGATGTAATAAATAATTTGTATCTTAATTTTAAGAGATAATAGAGCATACTTTTGCACTAGCGCTTAAAGCATGCAGAATAATAAATGTATTCATCTATAAATTAAGCAGGTCTCACTTCATCAGTAAGCATGCTAGTCGTTATTGCTTATGCTTACTCAAGCCTACCACAGAAACCGCAGATGTTTGTTTTATCAGGGTTTTCTTTATTTGATGGAGCAAATGAATTTGCGGTTGCTCGTAACCAAAACCTGGAAGACACATCTGGAAGTTGTGTCTGGATCATATAAGTGCTTCATCACGGATATCAAAATGCGTGAGGATTTTAATGGTCAACAATTGTATTGTTACCCTATTAGACGCGCCATATTCCAAAACTAGTAAGGATTTGTATTGTAGGTCTACCTTGCACGATAATATGCGTTTTGTGTTCGCGGAGTCCTTCTTAGTTGCAGCACAACGTGCAACGAGTAAGTAAAATATGATATGATATACAAGTAAAGAGTAGGCATCCTTTATCTACTCTTTTGTTATTCCTAAAAAATAGAATAAGAGGGGAGATGAAAATAAAAAAATACTGTGTGTACTTAGGTATATAACGCACGGAATAAGAATGAGAATGTAGTATGCGACAAGGCGCGAACATTATTCATATAACGAGACAAACTTAACCGCGCATGGATGTATGCTTTTCTGCGGAACTTTCCAACAATAGTTGTTAGGAGTCCGCGGTCAAGGGGATCATAACTGCATACAAAAGTATAAATAGTGAAACTGATTGTGAGGAAGGTATATTGTATACACGCGCGATAAGTGTTTTGTGTATGTAAAAGATTATATTGCTGATGTTGTAGATTTTTTGAGGATATCTATAAAAAGACCAGCATGTTCTTGCAAGTGATATGCTGATGGTCAGCCGTGAAAAGAACTGATAAAAGACATTTTGTTGACCATTTAGGGGAGGTTGAGAAAGGGTTGATGTAACTCTATGGTCCAATCTATCTCCGAGCAATATACGAAAAAAAGTAAATTGTAGAGTTACTTATTTGCCATAAAGTAATAAAAATGATAAAATATAAAAAAAAATTAGAAAAACGGTTGACCCTAAAGGCCATCCCTGCAACTTTCCGCTCATTTCATACTTAAGCGCACAAAATTGTATTTATTAGTTTTTAACCTCTTCAAGCTCAAAATATGATTTTCGTGTTATTTTGAGCTCTTCGAGCTTAAAACTCTGATAGCAGTTTAATAAAACACAACTTTTTGAATTTTCAAACCGCAATAATTTTTAAATGAATAAACCGATTTTCACGCGGTTAGCAGCATTCGACGTAGTTTTTGAAGCCTCATGAAGAACATTTAAGTTTAAATTGATCAAACAAGGAATTTCGAAGTAATTCCTAAAAAACGATTTTTTCGGTTTTTTTTCGTTAACGATAACTCACGAACGAATTAACCGATTTCGACCGGGCTGACGACAATCGACGTGGTTTTTTTTATGTTAAGAGCTGATTAGTTTTTGGAATCGATCGGTAAAGCCGTTTGAAAGTTATTCCAAAAAAACCACATTAAAAAAAATTTTTTTGCAGTTTATTTTAGATTTCTCAAAATCTATTGGTTCAAACCGGTCCAAATGATAGTCAAAATCTAAGTTTGGTCAAGTCTTTTCTTTAGCTCTGAAATGTTTTCAAATGAATATAAGAATTTTAAGTAGGCGATATTCTTTCCCATGATTTTCGGCATATCTGACCTTCACATGTTGCCAACAATACCTGACTAAGCCTTATGTATTACACATGTAGAACAGACTTTACCGATCGGCTAAATACCAGTCATACCTGCACCTGCATTAATAAGCCTAGGAGCTACAATTTATGCAAAATGCCAGACGGACCATCATAAAATCACCATACTTAAGGATGCTAAATCTTAAAGTCCGATCCATGTGTTTCCATAAGTCAACTTGAGAATGGTTTCATTCAAATAGTATAATACACTCTTTAACCTAAATCTTAAATTAAAAATAAAAAAATTCGATAGTTTCTATAAAATTTTGATATTTTGATTTTGAATTTCTGAACA